GTCTCTCTTTTGCTCTAAAGGCCTCGAGCCAGTTTCAGTTCCACCATGGTCTCTCCCACTTCCTCTTCTGCCTCCTTTCCCTCCAGTCTGGGCTGGTGCTTGAACTCCTAGGGCAGAGGAAAACACAAGTCAGTTTGGCAATAGGAAGAAAACGGGGACCGACCAGAAGGAAGAGAGAGCTCAGTGGTGGCAGTGGGGGAGGGGATCAGAAGAGACTCTGGCGAAGCCTTGGGTGTAGACTGGGCTTTGCCTGCAAGTAGCCTGCAGGAGCATGCGCACTGGGCAAGGGCCGCCAGCCGGAGGGCGCAGCCTACTTGGGCGACAGTACACATCTGGTTTGACTAGAGGGCACGTGTAGGGGATGGCATTGTCACCGGAAAGGGACCAGGCCAGGAGCGGTCTGCCTCCGGCCAGTAGTGTGTGGGTTCTTGACTTCATACAGGAAAGATTTCACAACCTGACTCCAGGTGATGTTGAGAGTATGTTTATTAAAGTGGGGCGGGGGGCGGGGGCTGGGGTGGGCAGGCAGTGAAGCAACAGGAGAGAGCCTGGGCGGTGCTCTGCTTTGGTTCCAGAGAAACGTTATAGGAAAGGAGTGAGCCAAGGCGGGGGCAGCAGTTAGCTCACTGGAGGGTGAGAGAAAAGGGGGCCTTGGAGACGCGTTCAGGGACCAGCTGCCCGTAGCTCCCCTGGTTGCAAGTCTCATGGAGACCCCTAGAGTTTAGGAGAGAAAAGGAAAGGTGTGTGCCTGAGAGGGAAGGAAGGTGTGGGCGTGCTCCAGAGAGAGCCCACACTGGGTCTTCGTCTTGAGGACTCTTCTATTTTCTAAAGGTGGGAATTTTAGGGGAGGATCTGAATAGAATATTCCTTCAGCTTTATACTGATGCATCAAAATGAGGTTTATTCCCTTTGACTTCACCTGCCCTTGGGTGCAGTTGGCCAAACGGCAGTAATGGAATTCTGCCCTCTCCTGAGTGTGGTGATTTAAACAATCTACCCTTGGGTTGGGCAGAACTTTCCTCTCAGGTGTCCTTGGTTAGGGATGGTAGGATTTTGAGATTTACTAGATGGCGACTAACTGCTTAGCCATGTAGCCCCCTGCCTCAGTTTCCCTGTCCCCTCGCCCTGGCTTACTAGCCCATCTCAGGATGATGCAGCCTGAAAGCTAAATTCATCGTTTAGGCCCAACTATGCCTCAAAAGACTTCCATTTTTGCTTTTACAGGAAGAGACATTTTCTCCTTCTCCAAGCAGTATTTCATGAAATACTTTTCACTGTGCACAGAGGAACCCAAAGATGAACCAGCCCTAATTCACGGCCACCAGGCCAGGGACTTCCCACGCCTGGCTGAGGCAGAGTGGGACAGCTCCATGCATCCCTGGCCCAAAACACCACCTTTCTGTGGCTTTCTTCAGCCAAGACAAGACAGGCCAAAATTCTCAAAAAGGGTTTACTAAACCAAGAGCAAACAGGAAGGAAATAAACTCCTAGACTACTTGACATATAAAATGAATCAGACTTTCCACAGGTTCCCAAGCCTCCCAAGCCAAAAATGTTGTCTTTCTGTTCTCATCTGAGAAATCTGCACGCAAGCCCAACATGCGGTCGTGACAGCCAAGGCCGCCCACCCTCTCTCTCACCAGCCGCTCTGGAGATAGCTCATCTTAGACATTTTGGTGGCGAAAACAGCCTCCCCCCACTCTGCCCCTCACTTCCTGTTACCTGCGTTCTGGGTCCCCTCTTCCTCTCCCCTTCTCTCATTTCAGACTCACAGCACAGTAACAGACGGCGGGGAGGGAAGTGGAATATTTAATATGATACCCAGAAATTTAATCCTTTAATCAGAAGTTGCCAATGAGCAATAAGATAGAGCCTTTCCTCAGTAAATATTTCTAACTTCTCATGCTTTGGAGGGTGACCAAAGAACTGGCCCTCTGACCTCTGGCTGAGAGAAATCTCCCTGTCAGTGTCTTCCTTTCATGAGGCAATTGTATGCATTGCCTCCTATCACAGCAATTTGTCCCAGATGGTGGAATCCTTAAAACCTGGGTGATTTTCTGGCTCATCTTTACTTTCTCCACATAGCCAAGTGCAGGGTTGGGTGTGGGGCAGCTGCCACACACAGGGCTGGCTGTCCCACAACGTGGGCAGTTTCAAGGTGAGTGGCACCATGGCATGTGCCCCTGAGAAAACTCCAGTTTGGTGTTTGAGAAAGTTGCTCGCACAGATGCATTGCTGAAGATCTCCTGCATTTCATTCTCTGCACAGAAGCGTTTTTCCTGCCACGTGGCCACGCCCAGAGCAATCATGACATCTGCTGTTATAAAGGAATCTCAAATCACGAGACCTCTGGAAGTTATTTGCCTGCTCTGCAATTCCAGATCACAGTTCACCCATGTAGTTACTGCTTCTGGTGTTTGTTCGTCAGGGCAGATCTGTGTTTGCACCTGGGATGCTTTTCCTTGTGCCTGAAGGACTTGCTTTAACATTTTCCATAGATGCAGGAGATGCTTCAAATATCTGAAACACCCTCTCACCCCGTGCTGGACAGGGGATTCTGGACTGACTCTGTGTGTTGGTGCTTTTAGTGTTTTAAAGACTTGTCCCCATTGTGTCACTTGTTTGTTTTGAAAGAAAAATCTGTTATCATCCTTAGCAGCCTTATTTTTGTTCCTCTGTAACATGTTTTCTTTGGTTCTTTTTTTTTTTTTTTAAAGATTTTATTTATTTATTTATAGAGAGAGGGGAAGGGAGGGAGAGAAACATCAGTGTGTGGTTGCCTCTCACACACCCCCGACCGGGGACCTAGACTGCAACCCAGGCATGTGCTCTGACTAGGAATGGAACCAGAGACCCTTTGGTTCACTGGCTGGCCCTCCATCCACTGAGCCACAACAATCAGGGCTTTCTTTGGTTCTTTTAAGATTTCTCTTTATTGCTGTTCTTTTTTTTTTCTTTTCTTAGTCATTTAATTATGATGTGCTTTGGTGTCATTTTCCTTGTCTGTTATGTTTGGGATTCATTGAGCTTCTCGGACCTATATGAGGCAGGATAATAAGAAGCTAGGAAAATTCTTGGGCAAATGAAATGGGGAAACAGACAAGAAAATTTAACAAGGACAAACCCTTAGAGCAATTTACAGCCAGCTAGTGAGTTGCAAGACCATATCTCCCCTAACCAAGGACACTTGAGAGCAAATGGCTTACACTTCTCCTCCCTGACAGAGAGCACTCAACCTCCCCGGCCACAAACCGTGGACCTTGGGGAAGAGAGGAAGAGGAAAGCCAACGTGGATGGGGACCCAGCAGCCCGCTTGGGAAGAAGCTGCACATTCCCGTTCAGCTGCACCTCCCAAGAGAAACAGCACAGCTGCTCTCCGCCCAGGAATTTCTCCCTCCCAGATTCCTCCATTTCCCCTGTGTAAACTTGCTTCTGAAAGCCCAAGGGAAGGTGAACCTTAGTTTTAACCCTCCACCTGCTCAGACTGCTGGCCTCTGATATGAATAAAAGCGCAGTTATAATCCAATCCTTGTCTCTGCTTTTTGGCTGAGCGGTGACAGGCAGCACAAGCCCTACGCTCAGTTACCCTCCAGTTTCAATACTATAGATTTTATAGTTTTCGTCAAATCTGGAAATTTGCTATTATTCCTTTCAGTTTTTCTGTCCCATCAGCCCCTCTGCATTCAGAGATCCCACTTGCATGTGTATTACAGTGCTCAAAACTGTACCACAACTCAATGCTGTTATTCATTTTTTTAAAGTTATTTATTTTTAGAGAGGAGAAGGGAAGGAGAAAGAGAGGGAGAGAAATATCAATGTGTGCTTGCCTCTTGCACGCCCCCTGCTGGGGACCTGGCCCACAACCCTGGCATGTGCCCTGACTGGGAATCGAACTGGTGACCCTTTGGCTTGCAGGCCTGCACTCAACCACTGAGCCACACCAGCCAGGGCTCTTTCTGAGTCCTCTCGTAGCCCACATTGCCAACCACCCTAACATTTTGGTGGCCTGTACAGGGACATTCTCTATTTCTCTCTCTCGGGCCCTGAGACTTGAGACTAGGGGGGCAGTGGGCAGCAGAAGCTCAACCAGGTTAACCCCCAACCCTGGCTCTGTGAGGTTTGGAGAGCAGATTCCAATTCTTCTCTTTCTCTCCAGACTCTGTAGGCAGCCTCCTCCTCACCCATCTTCACGATGTTCGATATAAGAAAATTAGGTTTTTTCCACAGAACAATTTGACTGGAAATCACCGGAAAACAAGAACAGAACATGATTAACCATGCCCTGCAGCCGCGGGCAGAAGATGACACTGGAACCTACCACAGCCTCTGTTGTTACAACGTCCAACAGTCCGGGGGCCACACAGCAGCAACCTCCACTCTTTCTTAATCCAACATAAATCAATAAAAGCTCAAAGCCCCCCCCCCCACTTCAATGCTGCTGTATCTCTCCACACCATGCCCCTCTCCTTTCTTGGAGAGTGAATAAAAACTTTACTTTCCCCTTGGCTGGTGTGGCTCAGTGGACTGAGTGCTGGCCTGCAAGCCAGAGGATCTCTGGTCGATTCCCAATCAGGGCGCATGCCTGGGTTGCGAGCCAGGTCCCTGATGAGGGTGTGTGAGGGGCAAACACATTGATCTTCTCTCACTCACTTCTCCTCCACTTCTCCTCTGCCTAAAAATAAATAAATAATCTTTAAAACAAACAAAAAACAATTTTACTTTCTCCAAAAAAAAGTGATTGTGATTTTTATTTTATATCTCCATACCTCTGCTTCACTTAAAAAAAAATAGGCTCTATTTTTTAGAGCAGTTTTAGGCTCACAGCAAACTGAGAGAAGGTAGAGTTCCTTTATACATCCTGCCCCCACGTGCATAACGTCCCCGCTGTCAACACCCCCCACCAGAGTGGTGCGCTTGTTCTGTTTGATGAACCTGCGCTGACACATCATCATCATTCAAAGTCCACAGTTCACAGTGGGGTTTGGAGCTGGAAGAGCCAGCCTTCGTGCTGGCTGTCACTGCCAAAACCGCTAAGTAGAGACAGGGATCGGACCTCTCTGGGCCCTTTATTCAGACGCCAGCGATCTGAGGAGACAGCAGGTTATGTACCTCAAATACCAGCTTACGTCTCCTCTCAAGCTGACCTTTCTATAAGGAGAAGGGTAGGTAAGGGGTTTGGGAAAAAAAGATTAATCAGATAAGAGTTGCAATCAGGGTGGTTTTTCCTAGTACTTTTTATCTATTGATCAACAGTTCTTTATCTGCATATCCTCCCTAGAACACAATGGCTCAGCAGATTCCTGGGACACAAAGTTTAAACTGCTTGCCCGCCTCCTGGAGTCATAAATTCTAATTCCCGGAATAACTGCTTTCCACGTGCATTAATCACTTAAGCCTATCAACCATCATTAAGGCTAGAATCTGTGTCTCTCGAGCTCTCCTATCAGGCTGACTCTTAGTGTCCAACATTCTCTGGGTTTAAACAAATGTGTAATACCATATATTCATAATTATATTTCCACTGCACGATACAGAGTTATATATTCTGTATGATACAGAATAAGTTCACTACTCTAAAACTCCTGTGCTCCTCTTAGTCATCCTCTACTTATCTTTTTAAAAAATATATTTTATTAATTATGCTATTGCAGTTGTGCCATTTTTTCTCCCCTGTTTTTTTCTCCACCTGCACCCCCCCACCCCTCGCCACCAGCATTCCCCCACCTTAGTTCATGTCCCTGGTTTGTACATATAAGTTCTTTGGCCTCTCCATTTCCTATACTATTCTTAACCTCCCCCTGTCTATTTTGTACCTACCATTTATGCTTCTTATTCCCTGTACCTTTTCCCCTATTCTCCCCCTCCACCTCCCTACTGATAACCCTCCATGTGATCTCCATTTCTGTTATTCTGTTCCTGTTCCACTTGTTTGCTTAGTTCATTTTGTTTTTGTTTTTGTTTTAGGTTCAGTTATTGATATTGAATTTGTTGTCATTTTACTGTTCAAATTTTTGATCTTCTTTTTCTTAGATAAATCCCTTTAACATCTCATATAATAAGGGCTTGGTAATGATGCTCAACCATTTCTGTGAGCATCCTAATTACTAGTGTTTTGAACTGTGCATCTGATAGGTTGGCTATCTCCTCGTCACTTAATTCTATTTTTGGAGCTCTGATCTGTTCTTTCATTTTGTCTCGCTGCACCACTACATAGTAAGGGGCAGAGCCTTAGGTGTTCACCAGGGTGGGGCAACCCACTCAGCTGCATCCTGGTGGTCTATGTGGGGGAGGGGTCCAAGAGGGAACAATGCCACTTGCTCAGCTCTCAGCAGGCTTTCAGTCACTTCCCCCGCTACCCACAAGCAAATTGGGCCCTTCTGGTGCCGATTTCCAGGCGGGTGTGTGTGTGTACATTCTAGGGCCCTGTGAATCTCTTTAATGAACTCTCTTGTGAGGCTGGGTGTTTTTTCTGCTGCCACAACTCCCACAGGTTTTTACAGTCAGAGTTTTTGAGGTCCACGCTGGACCCCTGGGTTGCACAGGCCATCTCACTCCCCAGTTGTTCCTCCAGGTTTATCTGCACACACATGTGGGTCCACCAGCTACTGCCTCACCTGCCCTTGTCCTCTAGCCATTGCCTTGCCACATGTTCTCTCCACCCTGGCTGCCCTTCTCTGCCTAGCCTACTGGTCTGGCTGAATGTTTCTTCTTTAACAACTTGGTTGTCAGACTTCCATACAGTTCACTTTTTTGCCAGTTCTGGTTATTTTTTGTTTTTAAATTTGTTGTTGTCCTTCTTTTGGTCACATGAAGAGGTAGCATGTATCTACCTATGCCTCCATTTTGGCCAGAAGCCACCTTCTACCTAATATTTGAACATATGGAATACAGTGATCATAAGTTTTGATATCCTTGTCTACTAATTTTAATACTTGTGTTGGTTCTTGGTCAGTTTTAATTAATTGATATTTCTCCAGTTTCTTTTCATGCCTGGTAATTTCTGATTGGATTCAAAACATTGTGAATTTTACCTGACTGAGCACTGGATATTTTTTGTCTTTCTATAAATATTCTTGGGTTTTGTTCTAGGATGCAGTACCCTCTGGGTACTTTGCATGGTGACCCTGAATCATGATGTTTTCCAGTCTGGCTTCTGAGAACAGGCACTGCTCCCACCTCTGTGAGTTCTAAGGATTGTCCTCTCTCATCCAGTCAGATGGTTCTTTCCCCCAGCCTTGGACTTCATCACATGCATGCACTAATGAGTATTCAGCTGAGTACTCAAGGAGGACCCTTTCTTGCTCTGTCATCTCCAGTGGGCTGCACCGTGAATCTACCACCCTGGCTTCCCTGAACTCTTCCAGCTCCACTGGCTCCGCCTCCCTGTGCCTCAGCGTGGAGACTGTCTCCAGGCAGTAAGGCTGGGCAGTCAGAGGGCTTACCTCCTTCATTTCCCATATCTCAGAGTGTACCGCCCTTTTGTTGCCTGAGGTCCAGCATCTTGAGAACTGTTGTTTTATCAATTCGATCTCTCTCTCTCTTTTTAGTTTCTGTCAGGCAGGAAGGTAAATATAGTTCCTTTTACTCCATCTTGGTTGAAAGCAGGATTCCAGATGCTCCATCTGGAAAAATAAATTATGGTACATGTATGTGATGGAATATCATACGACCTTGAAAAAGAATGCCTTAACCTGTCACAAAAGACTACATATTGCATGATTCTATTTATATGAAATGTCCTGAATGGGTAAATCTATACAGTCAGAAACTGAAGCCACAGGGGAGTTGCAGGGAGGGGTGGCGGTAGCTAAAGGGTGTGGGGTTTCATTTTGGGTGATGAACCAGTTCCAAAACTGTGGCAAATGTTATACAACTCTGAATATACTGAAAACCATTGAACTGTGTACTTTAAAGGGGTGTAAAAGAAAAGAAATGCACTTGAGCTACATGGCTTTGAAAAAGTCAATTTCAGAAGCAGGGCAGGAGGAAATCTGGTGGCAGAAGAGTCCTCTGAGCACAAATAGCTGTTTACATAAAGCTTTAAAATAAGCACAACATTTCTCTGGATGTTCAGGGATGCCTCTGGCCTGTGGTGCAGAGAAAGGTGGGGTTGGTTCCTTCTGGAAGAACACAGATAAAATTAGGGCTGTGTGTTGGTGAGGGAGATAAAAGGGTGGTGATTTTATCTCTAATGTTTTATGTCTTGGTCTGGGGCAGCCTTCACCTGTGCGCTTTTCTTTATGTCTAAGTTTTCTTAGTAAGATTCCTTGTCAGATAAATCGTTCAGCCTTTCCCCTGATGCCGGGGCCCCCTTCTTCCCTGTGCCCACACAGCACCCCATGGAGAATTCCAGCACCATGCTGAGGGGCTGACTTCCCATTGCTGATGCAGAAAGAACACCTGATAGTTTTAGGAACAACTTCTCAAAGCATGTTTTTTACTTCCCCCAGAAAAACGCAAGTTTCCCATCACCCTTGCCCATGCCGCACTTTTCCTGATCTTCAAAAGTCCCAAAAAACCTACCGAGCTCATGAGCACAGCTTCCTCTGGGCCTCAGCCCAGGCTCATTCCGTTCTCTTCCTCCAGCCAGGCTGTGGCCATCACACTGCTGCTGCTGTGGTTCCCGCTGTAGCCCAGACGCCCCTGCCGCTTCCAACAGCAAATGCCTAGCTCACAGTAGCCCCACCTGCCGGCCGCACCAGGTGCTGGGGCCAACACTTGGTCAAGCCCATTCTTCTCCCCTCTCGCTGGCACCTCTCCCAGCAGGAGAGCCGTCTTTCCAGCCAGCCTCACCCAGGCCTGGGACTGGGTCAGGCCTGACCCCCAGGTGACAGGACAGAGAGCCTGACCCCACACAGCCCTGCAGGCAGGGCTGCCCCTCAGGGACCACCATCCTTGGGCCCAGCCTCCCAGGCCTGGCACACTCGGGGCTCTGCCCAGCTCCCAGGCCTTGGTTCCTGCTGGTTCCTCTGCCTGGGGCTCCTTCCCTGACCCCAGACTCTCGCCTACTCATTCCTTTTAACTTTTGAAAACTGTGAAATGTCACCTCCATAAAGAAAAGCACCTAGAACAGACAGACAGTGTAACAAACCATTTTAAAGGGATGCCTGGGTACCCAGCAGTCAGGTCAAGAGACAGAACGCCTATCTGTTCTTTAAAAAAACACTTTTTAAAAATTATGAAACATTTTCAACATAAAACACAGAGATGAAAATAAGTATTCCCAGGGCTTCCACGGAGCCCCATGGACCTCTAATGGTTTCCCTTACATTCTTCAGATTTTTTCAAAGAGGCAAATCATTCCAGATAGGGCCCCAGGACTCGTTCTCTCCGATCTGCCTCCCCCGGAAGAAGCCAGAGCCTGGGCCGGGTGTTCTCACCCCCGAGGTCTGTGCACATCACAGAAGTCTGCATCCTGAGCTCCCGCCTGCTCTGCCCTGAGTGGTGTCCTCGCCCCCACGCGACCTCCTGCAGCACGCGGCTTCCGGTGTCACGGCCAAGGCTTTCCCCAGCGATAAAAGTGTGGGTCTTCAGCACACCAAAAGGGTGCTAAATTGTCCTATAGGGGGAAGGTGTACATTTCCATCCTTGCTAATAGGGACACATAGCTTTGCCTCTCAGCAATACTTGGTATTAGCAGACTTTAAAAACGTCACAGGTCTGGACTTCCAGGCAAGATGGAGGCGTAGGTAGACACACTGTGCCTCCTCGCACAACCAAAATAAGGACAACAACAATTTAGAAACAAAATAACAACCAGAACTGACAGAAAATTTAACTGTATGGAAGTCCAACTACCAAGGAGATAAAATAGACACATTCATCCAGACCCGTAGGCCGGACGGATTTGGGCAGCAGGTGGAGAAGGGTTGCAGCACAAAAAGCGGTAGCACCAGACGCGCAAGGCACCCTGGGTGCATAAGACCACAGCGGGCAGACCCCGGGTGCAGGGTGGCAATGGGCAGACCCAGCAAGGCGGTGATTGTGAAGAGCGAGGCACTGTGAGCAAGGCGGCTGGCTGACCAGGCAGTCCCACATTCACACACACAGATAAACCAGGCAAAACTGGGGAGCAAGACAGTTCGTGCAACCCAGGGCCCCAGTGTGGGGAAATAAAGCCTCAAAACACTGATTGAAAATACCTGAGGGGGTTGAGGCAGCGGGAGAGACCCCCAGTCTCATAGTAGAGTTCATTGGAGAGACCCATGGGGTCCTAGAACATACACAAACCCACCCACATGGGAATCGGCACCAGAAAGGCCCAGTTTGCTTGGGGGAAGCGGCAGAAGGGACAGAAATCTGACAGAGAGTGGAGCAAGCACCATTGTTCCCTCTCGGACCCCTCCCCCACATACAGCATCACAACCCAGCAGCTGGGTTGTCCCACCCTGGTGAACACCTAAGGCTCCACCCCTCATTTGTAACAGGTGTGACAAGACAAAAAAAAATGGCCCAGACAGAAGGACAGATCAAAGCTCCACAGCAAATACAGCTAAGGGATGAAGAGATAGCCAACCTATCAGATGCGAAGTTCAAAACACTGGTGATCAGAATGCTCACAGAACTGGTTGAATTTGGTCGCAAATTAGATGAAAAAAAAATGAAGTCTACACTAAATGAAATGAAGGAAAATGCACAGGGAACCGATGGGGATGGGAAGGAAACTGGGACTCAAATCAATGGAGTGGACCAGAAGGAAGAAAGAAACAAACAGAAAATGAAGAAACAAGAATTCAAAAAAATGAGAAGAGGCTTAGGAAACTCCAGGACATCTTTAAACATTCCAACATCTGAATTATAGGGGTACCAGAAGGGGGAAAGGAAGAGCAACAAGTGGAAAAGTTATTTGAACAAATAGTAAAGTAGAACTTCCCTAATCTGACAGAGGAAATAGACTTCCAGGAAATCCAGGAAGCACAGAGAGTCCCAAAGAAGTTGGACCCAAGAAGGAACACACCAAGGCACATCATCATTACATTAGCCAAGATTAAAATGAAGGAGAGAATCCTAGAAGCAGCAAGAGATAAAGAGACAAGAGTTCCCATCAGACTGTCAGCTGATTTCTCAGAAGAGACCTTACAGGCAAGAAGGGGCTGGAAAGAGGTATTCCAAGTCATGAAAGGCAAGGACCTACATCCGAGATTGATCTATCCAGCAAAGCTTTCATTTAGAATGGAAGGGCAGATAAAGTGCTTCTCAGATAAGGTCAAATTCAAGGAGTTCATCATCACCAAGCCCTTATTATATGAAATGTTAAAGGGATTATCTAAGAAAAAGAAAATAAAAAACATGTATAGTAAAATGACAGCAAACTCACAATTATTAACAATCACACCTAAAACAAAAACAAAAACAAACTAAGCAAACCAGTGGAACAGGAACAGAACCACAGAAATGGAGATCACATGGAGGGTTAGCAACAGGGGAGTGGGAGGAGGAGAGAGGGAAAACGGTACAGAGAATGAGTAGCATAAATGGTAGGTAGAAAATAGACAGCGGGAGGGCAAGAATAGTATGGGAAATGTAGAAGCTAAAGAACTTATGACACATGGACATGAACTAAAGGGGAGAATGTAGGTGGGAGAGGGTGTGCAGGGGGAATGAAGGGGGAAAATGGGACAACTAATGAAAGGGGAAAATGGGACAACTAATTGTGGGGGCGACTACTTTCGAGAGGTCCCCCCGGTGTCACGGACACGCATGAATAAGTAAATATGGCCGAGACATGCTGAGACCTGTTTGGGGATGGAGGCGTGGGCTGTGTGGCCAGTTTCTCTGGGTAGAAAGAGGCCAGCAGCGGCCAGTTTCTCCGAGGAGAAAAAGGCCCCTAGCGCCTCCTCTCCATAGCCTTTTATTGGGTTGTAATACACAGGAGTACAGGGCGGCAAGGATCAAACAGTAGATAACATTACAAAGAGATCTGAGGGCTTCAGAGTCAGTGTCTGTCAGGAAGAGAGTTGCAGAAACTTTGGGAGACATACTCATTTCCTCTCGGACCTTTATCATACGAATGAAAGCACTCTTAGCAGAGCAGATTTCACAGGTTTATCAGCAAGTCTTTGTGGTGCCAGATTTTCCGCCAGGGCACGCTCTGACCAGGCAAGGAGCTGCACCTCTCCCCATCAGGTATTCAGGCTTAAGGGGATTAGAGCCGGGAAGTGCTTCTCCCAGAGTACATGGGGACTCGGGCTATGTCAAAGCCGGGGGGGCAAGAGTCTATTGCTCTTTGTTGCAGCCCCCCAGTCCTTCCATGAAGGCCTCCCAAGTGGTCGAGTCTGGCTTAGGTTGTCCCCCTGCTGTGAGGGGTCTTACTCGTCATTGACTTCCGACCAAGTTCTGGGGGCAGGGAGAGAAACTGAGGCAGCGTTTGCTACCAGAGACCGGCTTTGTCTCCTGCTGCTGGCATTCCAGAGGTCATCTCTCACCCTTAGCCACAAGGGGTAGAGATACAATTCCTAAAATCAGGCAGAGCGGTCTACTACAACTAATAGCACAATCAATAAAATATATTTTAAAAAATGTTGCAGGTCTGATGGTGGGACCTACTCAGTTTTTGGATCTCAGGATTAGACGTCTCCTCTTTCAGGAGGCCTTCCTCAGTCTCTGCTGAGGAAGGAAGAGCCAGCACCTCCTGTGTGCACCCACCATGCCCTGCACTGTAATACATTGTCTGCTCACAGACCTCCACGAGACCATGGGGCCTACTCCTTGTTTGCAGCAGTTCCCCCCCACCCCATTCTGCAGAGTCCCCAGCATGCAGTCTGCGCTCACGAAATGCTCAGAGTGAATTAAGGAGTCTGGCCTTCATTTCTGGGTCATGACCACAAATGTACTAGAGAAGCCTCGTACATCTAGACTAGAAGCCTAGCCTAGAGAAGCTCAGGCTCTGCCCTTAGTAGTGGATCAAGAAACATTGGCACAAACTGCAAATCCCCGTCCTGACTCTACCAGCAGGGGCTACCCTTGGGTGCTGGAGGGAGGTTCTTGGCTGTGCTGCTGGGACAGGCTGGGGAAGGTCTTGAGGGCTGAGGGAGGGGTAGCTAGCGGTGTGGGCCGTGAGACCAAACAAGAGGGGACAGAGAAGGGGACACACTCTAGGCATCGGTAGCTCTGCTGCTGCCACAGCTGTCAACAGAATTTCATGAATAAATTATTTTAAAAATTTTTGCAATCCTCACTCAAGGACATGTTCATAGATCCTAGAGAGAGGGAAAGGGAGGGAGAGAGAGAGGAAGAGAAACATGGATGTGAGAGAGAAACATTCATTGGTGCCTCCCATATGTACCCCGGCCAGGGATCAAACCCGCAACATAGGTGTGTGCCCTGACCTGGAATCACACGCACAAGCTTTTAGTTTACTGGACGATGTTCCAACCAACTGAGCTGCA